TAAGTGTGTTTCCATGTGAACATATAGATGTGCATAGGAGTATGTATGTGAATTGTATGATTACATGTAAAGCTGTGTGAACATGTGTCAATGAATACGTGAGTGCGTGGATGTGTGTTCATGCGTGCTCGTGTGAGCGTGAGCATGGACAACATGTTCTTTATGTGAATGTGTTTGTGCATATGTGAATATGAGTTTGTGGATATGTGTGCGTGTGCACATTTGTGTATGATTGTGTTCCGTGTGTATACATGTAGGGGGAGTGTGGATGTGTTCCTTTGGTTGAGTGTGTGTGTCTGTGTATGTATGTGTCTGAGTGTGTTCATATGTGCATGTGTGTGTGGATATGTTCCTGTGTGTATCTATATGTTTTGTGCTTGTGTGCCCATGTATGTGGGTACGCACGTGTTTCTGTGCGTGAGCATGCTCATGTATGGACATGTATCCATCCGTGTGGGGTAAGCTGGGACTGTTTGCGGAAGGGAAAGGACGGCCTATCTGGGGGGAGCACAGAGAGCAAGACCTGCAATAGGAGACGAGGCTGAGCCTTGATGGCCAAGTTCACCATCACAGTCTTTGTACGAAGCCTAAGGTAGCTGCGGGTGATGTGTGACATGTGCCCACGAACATGAGTTCTCTGACTGCTTTCAGGGGCACGGGCTGCAAGAGGTGAAGTCAGATTCTTGGTGAAATCAATCCGGAGATTTGGTGCTCATCTGATGGGACCCTCCACTCCATGGGCTCCACACAGAAGAAGCCCCATCTTCTATCTCGAAAGACTTTGAAAGTCTCTCGAAAGACTGGTGGTTTTAACCTGGGTTAAGCTTTCTCACTTCCTCAACTCCCTGTTTGCCCTAGGATTGTCCTTCCTAAATAGGTTCCGGCAACCGCAGATTGTTCACAGTGACTTGCCCAGACTAGGGACTCTCACCTCCTAGATTCTAGATATCATATTTCTGTTAATCCAGCCTGAGCTCACATGGAGGATACTCTTCACTGCTGCCTTGGTCCTGTGTTCCAGTCCAAGGGTCCAGTTGTTCCACATGGAGCTTCTGAGTCTCTCACAAAGTAGCTGAGCAGAGCACAATACTAGCTGGAAGGCAGAAGGCCTAGAAGACACTGAGAGTCAGTACAGGGCAAAGGACCAATGCACAAGCTTTGGAGTGAAGTTCAAATCTACATGGCTGGTCAAGAGGCAAATTACTTCATCTCTGTTTCCCTTCTGTAAGTTGAGTGAATGAGACTTGCCTTATAGAGCTGTGGAGAGGAGGGGGGGGAAAATATATATATATATATGTATGTAGCTTGTATGGGTGTGGGTGCTGGGGCTTGGTGTACCCTGTGGCAGGCAGCCCCCATGGCCCCCAACGATTCCCACCTCCAGGCTGATTCACAGCCTATGTGGTCCTTTGTCTTGCCACTGAATAGAGGTATCGCAGAGACAGAACCAGTGGAATGCTGCAGAAATGACTGGTGTAACTTCCAAGTCCAGGTCGTAAGATACATAGAGCTGACTTCTCTCTCCTGGGGCACTGGCTCTGAGGGAAGGGGGCCGCCATGTTGTGAGGACACCCAGGCAGCCCTGTGGTGAGGTCCACATGGAAGGAAGTGAGGCCTCCTGCCAACAGCCAGCACTAGCCCCCAGCTATGTGTGTGGACCTACCTTGGAAGTTAATCCTTGGCCCCAAATCAACCTTCAAATGGCAGCAGCCCCACATGACATCTGACTGCGCCCTGATGAGAGACCTCAAGCCAGAAGCACCCAGCTCAGTCACTCAGTCACTCCCAAACAGACATTGTTTGAGTTACTAAGTGTGTATTGTTGTTCTAAACCACTAGATTTGGGGGTAACATGTTACACAGGAATAGATAATCAGTGCAGCCCTACACAGCACCTATCGTTTGGGGTCCTTTACTTGAGAAGAGACAGTCAGGAGCCTCTGATCATAGCCACTGTAGGTGGTCCAAAAGCCCCAGGTGAGAACAAGACAGGCAGCTCAGTGGCAGCATCGAGGGGAGGGGAGGGTACAGCTGAGACGTGGCTACTGAATGTCCCTACACAAGGAGCAGAAAGGCAGTGAATGAACTAGGAGTGTCCCAGGAGATAAGCAGAGAAATGCTTCAAGTGTACCCCCAGTCCATTATAACCTATGAACAGCAAGTGCAGAGAGTGGGTTTCTTAAAATAATAATTTCCCAGACTTACCCCTGTGTTCATGAAACCCCACCAGCTCCCCAGGGCACTATTCCAATAGAGGATGGAAAATTCATACAGGATGTTACAATTTTACCCCAAAATAACCACTTGGGAAATGAAAGAGTCTGAATATTGGCTCTGGGCTAAGATGGGACTGGACTCCAGGGTCCTGTGATTGAATGCACGGCCTCGGGGGCAGAAGACCCCCAGGGCTGATGTGGACTTAGAGTCTCTGAGCCCTGATTTCTTCAAGATGGGGTGTCAGCATTGTCTTAAACATCACGGGACTAGGAAGATTAATTTAAGTGAGGCATATAAAAGTGCACTCTGCAAATTATAAATTACCTACAAGTAAATATAGAAGGCTTTTTTTTTTTCATGATATGTAGCTCTACCCATTCTTAAGGCACTAATTGTGTCAGGGACAACAATGAAGCCTGAAACAGGATACAGCACATCAGAAGCAGGGCAGAAACAGAGACTCCATACCCTTACCAGAATCTCAGCCATGTGACCTTGGGCAAGTCATTGTCCTTGTTTGTAAAACCAGGAAGTGGAACTGGAACATCTCCAAGGGCCTTTCTAGTCCAAAAGTCTTATGAATCTGTGCCCTGTTCTACCTGGGTAAGCGTCTGGGGAAGATGGGTCAAGTAACATTTCCCATGGAATCACCATGAGCTAGCCAAGATTGCTTCACAACTGTTCTGCTCCTTCTACCGCATCGCCAAATATTGGAGTATTGCTTGTTCTATACCTAGAGGATTGAACAACATGATTAATAACATTAAATAAATAGACATTGAGTTTTGTGCCCCACAAGAAGAGAATATACCTTTTTCTCAAATTGGTGATGGAGCATTTATAAGAACTTATCACATACTTTCTTGTCCAGAAAGATAAACTTTTTAAGGAACAAAAGGCAGAAATTAAACAAGCCATATTCCAAACCAGAAAATCCAACAAAAACTACACTGGAATAATGAAAACTAGAAAATCAAAAATAGATAGATAGACAGTAGACAGACAATAACACATTTGAAAACTAAAATATTCTTCCTATTTAGTTTAGAAAATAAATACTAAATCCAACAGAAATTTAGAATATGATCTATTGAAACTCATCACATCCCATCAAAGCTATATTTGGAGATAAACTCATTAATATAAAGATGACTTCATTATTAAAATAATAGCTTCCACTTCTGGGATGAAGCATGAATAACGTCATGGACCATTCCCTAGCGAAACAAGCAAAGCTGGCAAAAACTACTAAAAAAACAAAAACAATCAAACAAAAAAACCACAACCATTTAAAGTCTCTGGGAACTGTCCTAAGAGCATACGACAAATGAAGAAACATCTATTCGAGAAAATCTACTAAGAATGCAGTAGGAACAGCAAGCGTCTGTGACATTTCAGCCACAAGCATATTTCTCTCCCTCCCCTCTCTGGCTCAGCAGGACAGAAGTTTCCCCTGGGTACGTGTGGCCAAGAAGTCCCAGCTCCCTCTCCCCTTATTGAGGTGAAGGGAAAGGACACCATTCCTCATGCCTTCCAGCTCCAAGTTAAAAAGACTAAATTCCTGGTGAGTGGGGTGGAGAGGTGGGGCTTCCTTCCTCCCCGCCCCTCCTAGGCGGGACAGGCCTAGAAGACTGGACCCCCAGCTCCCCTCCTGCAGGCTGGCTCCTAAGGCACAGTTTCCCCAGGAGAGGCAAGCTGAGATGATGGGAGGCACCCAGGGCTAGAGCTCAGGGAGTGCCTAGGAGAGAAGGCGGTGTGTGGGAAAGAGCTCCCAAGCACCCACAGAAGAAGAAACCGAGTGTACTTAAAACAGAATGTGGGAAGTTCAAGCCTAAGGGCACTCCTGAAAACAATAGCGCCTCTTAATTTAGAGCAACCAGCTAAACCGAAAGCTAGCTGGTTCACCAGATAGAACCAGGGAAAGAGACATCCTCCTGGGCTCCAAACCATCCTCAAAGCCTGCCTGAACTTAATTGGATCAGACCAGGGAACAATTTTTATGCCAGGGCATTCTTGAAAACAATTGAGCAATCAGCCAGGGATTAGCGGAAAGGGGCTGGGTCTATTACCCAATGAGGTAGACAACAAGGAAACCGGAACAGACAAAGAGGACCCGGTGAAGACCACTGCCATCCCAGGGTGGTGGGGCTCTGCCCAAGGCTGTACTCTCGGAGGATAAAGAATGTTCCAAAATTGATTAGATGGTGGATGCCCAACTTGATGACTATACTAAAAACAACTGAGTTGTACACTTCGAATGAATGGAGTATATGATAGGTGAATTACATCTCAACAAAATTATTAATTTAAAAAGATAGTATAATTATTGTGATGAGCACCGAGAAATGTATAGAATTGCTGAATCAGTCTATGGCACACCTGAAACAAATGTAACACTGTATCTTAATTATACTTGAACTTTAGAATTTTTTAATAAAATAAATTTTTAAAAAGATACAGAAAATAAATGGCCTACATAGTCATTTCCATATTATTTCAAAGAACCCAGTCTTAAGAAAGAAATAATACCAAAAAAATGCAACTAAATGACCTGGATAATAGAAAAGACCATGGGATTAACTAATACATTTATTTTTTGGACACTTAGCTACTCTTGTTTCTCTTTACAACAGTCTGGATTTCTGCAAAATGCTTCCAAGTGCTCCCAAGAAGACCCTCATTTCAGAAGACCTCCTTTTATTTGACCCTTTGGCCTTTGAATGAAAAGAGAATTTTCACACAATACTCCCCGGAGATCCTGTTCCCTCAGGTCCCTGCTGTGGTTTCTTCCTCTGAGTAATTCCCCAGCAGGTACCCCAAGGGCGGGCTGCCCATCTTGGGGTTTGCTGTTCCTCCATCAATATGGCCCATACCTAGATGCATCGCACGTGCCGCCCCCCAGACAGCCAGGGAGGAGGCGATGCTCCACTCCGAAGGCTTCTACTCAGATCCTCAGCCCTGGGAAGGAACCTCATTTGCCCGGAGATCATCTGGACTCGGCCACCACCACGCACTATGTGATCAGAGGGACGGGGAAGTTAGCCACCTGAAGAAGACATCCTTCCATTCAGGAACTTTGGGCCTGGGAGGCTCTGCCACCTACTAGGCAGGTGACCCAGGTAGATCACTTGGTCTCTCAGAGCTAGGGTCACCTCACCTGTGCAATGGGTGCATGAGAAGCACACGAAATATTGGACGTGGGGTGCTTGGCATTTAGTTTCTGTCTCCCTCAGCCATCATGGGCCAAGAGCTCCCGCCAAGCTCCTGTGCTCCAGACGGCCTCACTGCCTCACTGCCACACGTGAGGGGTTGGGGCCAGTCTCAGAGGAGCTCCCACCACTCCAAGTAAAAGCTGCTTAATCTGACTTAAACTCCAATTGAATCAAAGGTGGGTAACCCCAAAAGGAACAGCCACATCCAATGAGATGAGGCAGGACGATTGGGCCCCTGCCTTTTTGGTCTGCTGTCTGCAGAATGGAGCCTTCCCCTTCCCCATAGCTGGGCTGGTGAGAGGTGACAGAACCTGGGCACCAGATGGCCTCGACAAAACCTAATGTCCCCTGGGGTGTGCAAACACAGCATCTGGAAGTCTTCTCTGAAAGCCCAAACACCCAGCCATGTCTCTTCCTCAGCATTCCACATACAAAATATTTGGAAATGAAATCATGACTCCTTTTCCCCACATTAGGGAGTAGGGCTGGCGGAAAACAACCCCATGTCCAGTCCCATCGTCACTCCCCACATGACACTGCCTTGCTCAGCAAGAAACCAGCACAAGACCGCTCTCTCCAGACTGAGCAGGGGACCCCAGAGGCCTTCCCAGAGTCCACCCACAGATGCTGCTGGCAACGTCCCCAGTGCCCGGGGACAACGTGAGTAAGGGGGAGGAAGTGGGGGTCCACGTGGAGCAGGGGCCACCCAAGAGGCCACATGCCCTTCTTCCAGTGGCAGGTGGACACTGGGCTCTCAAACCAGGCCACTAGACAGTATCCAAGGCAGCTACTCTCCAGAGACATCTGGTTCCCATTCAAGGTGGGTTAGTCCTACCATCAACCGAATTTTCTCTCTATGCCCGTGTGAAAGGATAAGGTTTCAGGCTCACACCAGAGTCTGGCCCATCCACAACCAGAGATGGAGAAGGGGCCTTTGGTACTGCGCCTCCAAACTGGGGCAAAAGACAGTCTTTCGGGGTAAAAACGTGCCAGAATGTTGTATGGGAAGGTAAGCTCTCAGTAGGTTGCCAACTCTTTGGCCTTCTGACTCTTCTGATTTCTGCTCTGGGCCCGATCGCTGGAGGCTCCTCCCTCTTCAGACCCTGTCATGGGCTGAGTTGTGTCCCTCAAAAAGATACGTTGAAATCCTGACTCTTGGTCTCTGGGAATGTGGCCTTACCTGGCAATAGGGTCTTTGCGGCTGTAACAGGTGACATTAAGATGAAGAGTAGGGTAGGCCCATTATCCCATGTGACTGGGGTTCCTAGAAGAGGAGGGTGGGACACAGAGACACACAGGGAGGACACCATGTGACAATGAAATAGAAACGCCAGCTGCAGGCCAGGGATGGAGTTCCTGCATCACCAGGAACTAGGGAGAGGCAAGGAAGGTTCTACCTGGTGGGAGAGGGAGAGGCAGAGGCTGGAAGGAACACGGCCCTGCAGGCAGCTTCATTTCTGACTCCTGGCCTCTAGGACTGTAAGAGAAAAGACTTCTGTTGTTTTAAGCATCCGCTTTGGGCAGCTTTGTCATGGCCAATACAGGCCCCAAACTCTGAAGCCTAGCCCCCCCCCCTATCCATATCCCATGGGTGCTGGTAGACTTGAGAATCCTGCTGGAGGAGGAGGCCACTTGGGGTGGTGGGGGGGAGGCCCAAGGGTATGCTGGGCACATAGAGAGGGTGGGCACAAGGAGAAGGACAAGGGACGTGCTATCTCCTGACAGGGTCCCCCACCTTGGGAGGGATCCAGGGAGGGTGGAAGCCGGTGAGCATGGGAGGTCTCAGATCCTGTCCAGCCATGGTCTCTGAAATGGCTGGGCCCAGAATAGAATCAAGTCTCCTCTCTGCTTTTTTGAAAACCCTGGAGTTCCTGCCAACAGAAAAAAAAAGAAGAAGAAGAAGAAGAAGAAGATGATGATGATGATGATGAAAGCCCACAACACCTCTATTTCCCACGTCCACATGTATTTGAGAACCCCGGGGTCCCGCAGATGACTACCCCACCCTCCCAGCAGAGCTCACACAGGGCTCAGCAGGACCTTCTCATTAGGCCAGAGCCATGAACCTCCAAGTCAAGAGATTTGCAGTTATTTCTACTTCCCAGCAGCAGGAAGGAAAAAAACAAGTTGGATCTGAAAAGCAGAGGGAGAATTAAGAATGTACCTCAGTCCCAGGCATCCTTTTTTTTTTTTTAACCACTAACTGGGCAATGAATAATTTATAGCCACGCATGTTTGTGGGGGTATAAAACTGTTGACAAGTCAAGAAAAGCCTCTTAGCAGCCTGATGGAGCAATCCATCTTCAAGAAACAGGTTTCAAATGCATAGTTTGTGAAGATGCTGGTAGAGGTTGTTTCCCTTCTTTCTTGGTTTTTTTTCTTTTTTTATCTATATGGAAATTGGTGGGTGCTGAAATATGCTTCACTTCAGCACGAACTTGGGCTGAATGATATCCCAGGCAAGAATTAAATCATTGCTTCGTAGAGCAAGAAATAAACACCCAAGCAAAGCAGAGCCCCCCGGCACGCAGAGGGAGAGCGGGAGACTTCCAGAAAGTTGAGCGAGCTGTTGCTGTTCCGGGCAGGGCGCCATGCAGAGCTCAGGCTCAGCCTCACCAGACAAGGGGTGACCAGATCCAGCGAACGTTCCTTCAGGAAGCCCCCAGCAAAGCAGGGCTGACTGCACAAACCGAAGCTTCCCGTCTCTGAAGAGCAGCATCCTCCTGGGGTCCTCCCAGATCCGGATGGCGCCGTGCGGATATCGTGACAACAGTGGCTGCCGTGAAGCGAATGAGGCCGAGAACCCCGACAGCTGCAGGGTCGAGGTTGCATCAAGCACCCGCCATGTGCCAGCGCCCAAGAGCCTCTTCCTCAGTCTGCAGGTCGGCCCTCTGGCCGGTGCTGCCTGAGCAGTCTGGTCCCTCTGTGGCTCCCCTCCGTGCCAGGAGGGCTCCTTGGGAACCGGAGCCTGGGGAGTTCTTGTACACCTGTTAAAGGTCACACAGGTACAAGGTGGCAGAGCCTGCCTTTGACCCCCCATCTCACCCACCTGCCTATTCACCTCCTTGCTCCTACAGAGACCGACTTGCTGTCCCTTCCGTTCTCATGCCCTCAACGGCCCCCCACCTTCTCTGACCAAAGTTAGGGCAGCAGGCTGAGACCCAAGTGTAGACCACAGCCACACGGCTCCCCTGGGGACAGGGTAGGGGAGGTCGATGCCAATCACCAGAACTGTGTTAGTTACCCTCTGCTTCGTAACAAATGACTCCCAGACCCGGCAGCTCCGAAACAACAAACATCAACTACCTCACGGTTTCTGTGGATCCTCCAGCAAGGCTTCAGGGACAGCTACCTGAGTCCCGGGGTTCGGGGTCTCTCACAAGTCTGGAACCAAGGCGTCTGCTGAGGCTGCTGTCATTTCAAGGTTCGACTCACCCGCGTGGCTGCCGGCGAGATTCTGCCCCTCACAGGTTGCTGGACTCTTGGTCTTGGTTCCTCACGAGCTGTTGGCTGGGGACGTCCCTCTGGTCTTGGCTACACGGGCTTCTCCACAAGGCAGCTCACAACATGGCAGCTGGCTTTCCTCAGAGCCAGGGAGGGAGCAAGAGAGGCGAGCATAACAGAAGCCAGAGTCTTCTGGAAACGTGAGCTCAGAGTGACACCCCATCAGGTGTGCCTTGTTCTTATATCAGAAGCAAGTCACTGTGTCCAGTCCACACTCAAGGGGACGGCATCCCATGAGGCATGAGTAACCTGGAGGCTGGGATCCTGGGCAGCCATCTTAGAAGCTTAGGAGAACTGTAATCATCCGTAATTAGTAATCAACCGTATTAGTTATTTAGTGTTGTGTAACAAATTACCCTGAAGCTTAGCGGCGTAAAGCAACAATAATCACTTCCTATTTCTCACAGTTTCTGTGGTTGGGAATGCAGGAGCAGCGTGGATGGGCACTTCTGCCTTGGGGTTTCTCAGGGGACTGCAGGTGGACGTCAGGGAGGGTCTGACAGGGGCTGGAGGATCCACTTCCACGTGGCCAACCCATGTGGCTGGCAAATAAGTTGGTGTTGGTGGCTGGTGGGGCCATCAGATCCTCCCCACGTGGGCCTCCACAGGGGCTGAGTGTCCTCGCAGTATGGCGGCCGGCCTGCCCACCACGTACCATCCAGGAGACCACACAGAGGCTACAGAATGCTTTTCCAGCCCAGCCCCGGAAGCCACAGAGTGCTGCTTCGGCAGTATTCCTCCAGCCACGAGGTCAGCCCTGCTCGGTGGCGAAGGCAAGAATACTGGATGCAAGATTATCTAGGCGCCATCTTGGACCAACCTCCGCACCAACTAGGCAAGCCCGCCATCGGACGGCATTGCAGCACTGGAGCCGTGCTGAGGGGGCACTGAACCCACGGCCCAGACTCATCGCATGCCGTAGCACCCCTGAACGTGACTGGCCCTTTTGGGCCCATACCTTTGTGACCCTCCCTCTCCTTGTCATGTTCTTCTCCCACTGGGAGCTCCTATGCAAACTCCAAAGCCCAGTTCAGATGTTACCTCCTCCACAAAGCCTTTCTTTATTCCTCACCCTGGTCCCCTCACCCACCACACCCACAACATGGCTGTCTCCTTCTGTGGGCCCCTACACAGCTTTTGACACCCTCTATTGTCCCCTGCCCCTCGGCCCTGTCCCACAGTTAGCTGTGGGTCCCTTTACACACATGCCCTGGGGTGAGCGCCTTCCCAGAGCCCCTCCCTCAGGCCCCATCCTGTGGAGATACCTGGAAACATCCCTCGGCCCTTGCTGGAGACAGCCCTGGGCTGCCATCCCAGCTCCGGGAAGTAGACGGCTGCATCCCCGCTCTTCATCCCCAGATTCCATGCCTGTCGCCTGATGCCCAGCGGCCTCTCTCCCCACTGCTGGGTCCCTCGTAAACTTGGCCGCCAACGCTCCACCGAAACTCAGCACAGGCTCCGACCCAGGGCCAGGTCCTCACGCGGACAGGCGAGAGGTCCAAGGCAGGCCTGACTGCGTGACAGACAGGCGTGTTTCAAACCGGAGGCCTTCCTGCTGCCCGGTGGGAAGAGCTGCCTGCAGCCTCCTGGTGGCTGTGACCCGCTGGAGGCACAGGTGCGCTCGAGGATGCGCTGCACCTGGGTGCGGGCCCCCCACCTGAGCAGCTCCGCAACCGCGATGGGGCAGGAGGCTTGGTCCCCTGCTGTCCTCCCTTCCTCTCCTTCACCTGATGGACAGGAGGCCGTCAGCCCAATAACACGGCAGTTAAACTGAAGGGGCCCTTCCCTAAGGGCTTGTGTGGAGGGTGTCCCCCCACCCCACGGAGAACAAATACATCCCAGGCTGGGACGCCGAGTAGCCCAAGGGGCAGGCGAGATGGAGCCAGAACAGAGTAGGGAGAAGCTGGGGACGGAAAGGGAACGAGGGGCTGGGCTGGACCCAAGGGGCTTCCTTCCGAAGGCAGCCCTCTAGGGGTTCCCCCATGAGACACTCTGGTGGTGCTCCTGATTTGGAGTCCTCAACTCCCAGAGACCTAAGATCTGGTTAATCTAGGGGGATGTCATTTTTGTGTTAAACCCTTGCCTTGGGGCGCCTGGGTGGTTCGGTCAATTGAGCATCTGCCTTCAGCTCAGGTCGTGATCTCAGGGTCCTGGGATCAAGCCCCGCATCGGGCTCCTGGGTCAGCAGGGAGTCTGCATAAGGATTCTCTCCCTCTCCCTCCGTCCCCCCAACTCATGCCCTCTATCAAATAGATAAAATCTTTGAAAAAAAAAAAAAAAAAAGCCCTTGCCAGTCATTTCGATGCAAATCAGTTTGGAAAGCCCTGACTCAGAAGGTGAAGTGATTGTCCACCCTGATCTTCTGATACAACCTCCATTCCCTAAACTGAGCAACGACAGCCACTTGTACTAAAACGGGCATCGTTCCAAGGTTCTACCTACTCAGTCCTTGATGTTAATTAATTCACATATTATCAATCTGTTGCCCAATCCCGTGATCCAGTTCCGGGTTCTGCAACATCTCCTCACTCTGCACCAAGGGTTTCTTGGTTGTTGAAAAGAAGATGGAGAAAGCGGCTTCGAAAGAGTTCCAAAGTGAGCCATTAGCATGGCTTCTTCCAAAATGGATTTACATTGATTAGATTCATCGTTCCCTCTCATTTTTCTCATGTTTAATGGCTTCAGAGTCTAAGGAACAAGCCAGAGAATTGGGCCTGGACATCCAATCTCCTGTTAGATCCAGCAGCCTGTGCCCGGAGGCCTGGCTGTGTCTGGCGCCCTTGCTGGTCCCGGTCATATCTGAAGAGCTGCTATGGTTCTCCGCTCTGGACCAGCATCTGCATGAGGGCGAGGGCCGAGTCTAGGTCTCCTTACCATTATGCTTCTCTGCTTGGTACCGTGCCTGGCACACAGGAGGCCCTCAGGAGTAAGACCCCTGGTGAAACGTGTCCGGGGCCCCTGGACACTAGCTCCCTGCCCACTGAGATCAAAACCTGAGCCGAAGGCAGATGCCAGATCTCGGGTCTCTGGGGTCTGAGGACCCCAAATCAGGAGCACCAGCACACCTGCCGAGGCATGAAGCCAGCTGGGGGCCCATCCATTCTGCAGTGGGGTTCATCCTCATGGTCACAGCTTGGGGCAGCCCCTGAAAGGCCCAGAAAGGAAAAGGCAACCTTAGCCCAAAGGGCAAGTCAGGGCAGATCCTCGCTGAAAAGATGTCCTTTGGCCAAGCTCACGGCACACTCCAAGAGAGACGGAGATCTCTACCGTGACCCTACAGACTGTGACCCCAAAGTGAGCCGGCCACATCCACCCATCCCTCCCAGGAAAGGCCCAGCCCACCTGTCTGCCCACGTCTCTCTCCAGAACTCTCCAGGCCCTGCCAGCTGGGCCATTTGCTTCTTGCGATGTATATCCCGAGAGAAGAGAAGCTTCTGCATTCCTGCAGAGCAAGCACCTTGTGGGGATGCCAGGCGCAAGAGGACACCCGCCACAGCCGTGCTGACGGAGAGTGGCAGTCAACAACGTCCCCACAGCGGCCACCCCGCTGAGCTTTGCCCTGCCCCCACTGTCTCTCCTTGGAGCTCCTCAGATGAAAACCCCAGGTCCGGGGTGGAAAAGCCTCTTAGGAGGTTAATAGCAAGTGGATAGAGCAGTAAACGTACCGATTTAATCCTTCGAGGGTGGCTAACAGGCTGCTGTTTACCAAAGTCTTTGCAGATAATTACGAACCGGTAATTACGAAAAGCTGCTGATCGCAGCTGCCCCAGAAACGACCACAGCCCCCGTCTACTTTGCCAAGCTCCGTAAATGGGCTCATTCCGCAAGAAATTCCCCACAAGTCGCTTTCTTGGAAGGACGCCAGGCAAGAATTCACGGCGCTCTCCTCTCGCTCCCTCCCTGGCCGCTGTCTGCCTCCACCATCTCCGGAAAGCTCCCTGAGTTCTCCCCAGAGAAACACCGCAATGACTTTAACCCGGCTTCTCACGTGGCCTCTCTCCCTTCTTTGTCTCCAGTTAGCAGACAGGAGGCAGGGTGTCACCCGCTCTAGAGGCCCCGCTCTGGGACAAGCCTGGACGAAGGGGCTCAGACCCGAGCTGTCTGGGAAGGGCAGGGCGGGCACACTGAGGCTGACAGCAAAGTGGCCCTAAGGGGACACTGCTCACTGGGCCAAGAAGTATGAGAAGCTTGACCTCAAAAGCATTGTCAAGTCTTGCAGATTTCACTGAAATGTTCATGGAAACGTAAAGGAGGAGATGACTCTGAACCTCTCGGGGGAAGACTTCTTCAAACTCCCACGTTAACACGTCTGTTTATTCCCCAAGTTTCGTTCTTACTGCCTCTGCTGTGTCCCTGAGACACACCTCTCTCTCGCAGCCACCTCGCTGGCTCTGCTGGGCTCCCACAGAACACCCCCCACAGATGCCCCCAGCAGGAGAACGTCCAGCCCCCCAGCAAGTACAGGCATCCGACGGCATC